TTTTGTCAAACAACCCTACCCTGTAGTATGGAAAGCGACTTATATAGACTGCATTTAAAAAGGTCACCACTTTGTTTTTGATATTATTCGCTTACTTATTCTTGGCATACAATCATGTCAATCACTTCTTTTGGGATCCCATTAATTGGGCGATATTTATATCGTAATTCCTTACCTTAGTACCCAAATGTGTCACAATCAATTTCGCTGCGACTTTTTGCCAGTCCTCGGAACAGTGAACGCAAAGTCGAAGTAGAAGCGGATACCTGAATGATTTTTCTGCATTTTATCAAGGCCGCCAAGAAAAGTTAAAACATAGTTGTAGTTTTTGTGATTTGGAGTTGCAGTGAAGTTGTACCAAGTGACGTTGCTTCATACGCATGGTCCGAGAGAAAAAACTCGGATCAAAACCAACCGAGACCAGTCATGCCTACCACTTCCAAACCTCCAAATGGTCAATTAGTTGCAATTCAAACCATAAAAACACTGGGTTCAATGGCGACTGACCCCAGCTTTGTAAGAAGTGACCATGCATTCAAATACCAGTATGATTCTAAACAGAAATCGGATGCGAGGTGCATCCTATCACGGGATCGGTCGATGCTTTTTTTTGCTTTTATAAGGGTAAGAACATTATGGGCGGAGAGGAAATCCTGTATATCAGTAAGATCAAATTGTCCCTCCCCTCCCCTAGCACTATCTCGACCGGCACGCCGGCTCGCCGGCCGGCCGGCGGACTATGAAAGCAGCCACAGGTTGCACTTTTGTGCTTGACCCCGAAGAAGTCATTATCCCCTTACAATATTCAAAACCAGTTCGTGAAATGTGTCCAAAATGGAATTTTGAGTGGCGGTAACCTTCTACTTCCAGTTATGGGGTTAAGAACAGTTTGAATGGGACTCGTTCAATCCAAGTTGACGTAGGTCCCGAATATGTGGCTTCGAACAAACTTCGTAACCAATTAAGTCAAAAATTATACCGTCTATACGGTCAGATAATGTGGAGGGTATAGTGGCAAGTGAAGGAATCCCAAACCGATATCAGCCTGAACCAACTTAGCGTTATCCCTCCGAGGTCGGTTAATTGCTATCAGACTCGTCTTTAGAAATAAAAGCGTTAACTTATTCACGGAGAGCCACCGCAAATCATTAAATAGGCCACGTATGCATCCTTAACAAATCTAGGATCTCGAATGGAAGTCGAATGCTCAGCTCAACTCAAAACAGCATTCGTGGATGGCGAAGAATTTATCCTTACCACAAGTAAATACACATTGTAACAATAATTTTAACGATCGAGAAAATAAAGGTAGTATCTTTGCTAACAAAAGCATTATCCTTACCGTGTTCTTTCGAACGCCGTCTCGCGGATTACTTTCAGCGCTTGGCTCAGAGGCATTTTACTGATGGCCACCATACCATTTTGAATCATCGGTTCCGTCTCGCCTTTAGCTTCACTTGGGTCGAAGATATCAACTGAAACAATGCAACTAATAAAGTTAGCACAGAAAGTGCAGTAGTTAGAAGCGCTGATTTGCACGTGTCAGCAGGTGTAGGGGATCGAATTCTGCTCGGAGGTCTTCCTTTCCCCTACCTATAGGTTCTGTCCACTAAGTCAGGTAAGGTGCTCGAGAGCAACAGCAGCGTCTCGCGTAGGAGCTGAGATTTCGATTTTTACCCAATTTCAAGTGATTCTTGGTGGCACGTAGTCTTTGAGTTTCCCCTCAAACTGAAATAAGGCCAGTGCGATCTGATAGCGATCAGCACTGACGTTCGCCTTTCCAAAAATCAACTGAGTTGCTCTCTTTCCCACTGTACTTTTTCTGTACTGTTTACAAAAAAAACAGGACTTCTCACTTTCGACCAGCCGACAGTTCCTCTTTAGTGCACTGGACAAGCCGTCAACGCTGACTGCTCCTTGTTGATCTTCGACAAGATAGGTTTTATTGGAAGCCGCGATGAAATATTTTGAAAACGGCTGAAAACATAAATCATTCTTCGGAATGTTTCTCTTCTCTTTCTTCTAAATTTTACTCCAAAAGGAAAATGTTAAAGGCTTACTTGCTTCATATCCATCCAAACTCTGGAATGTGA